GGGCCCTGTCCCCAGTCCCTGTCACCCCAGGAAGGGGCCCTGTCCCTGGTCCCTGTCACCCCAGGAAGGGTCCTGTCCCTGTCACCCCAGGAAGGGCCCTGTCCCGGTCCCTGTCACCCCAGGAAGGGGTCACTGGCTGGAGCAGCTCAGAGTGCCCTGGAACTGCTCTGCTCTGCTCTGCTGCCCTTCCCCTCTCAGGGCCACAGCTCTGCCTCCAGTCCAATTCACAGATCCAGGAGCAAAGAGCATCCAGGAACAAAAAAACAGGTACAAGGAGAAGGGAGAATAACGCTAAACTGGGCACAGGTCTCAGACACATTCATATCCTGATTTGTGACTAGCTAGAAACTTCAGCTGCCAAAAGTAAGAATTTTTGTCTCCTGGCCATTGTCCTGYTTTGGATGAGAAAGGAGTTTTGAATTAGAGCTGCCATTGCTGCACTAAAACCTTCCAGAGTACCCAGGGCTGGCATCAACTGTGGCACAAAGGTGGTGTGTGTGGATGTGCACATCCTGTGTCTACACAGATCCACCCATGGCGTGCCAGAAATGTTCAGGGAACTCTCCCYGAGCTTTGGTCCCAAAGGAGGCTTTACTTTACAGGGCACGGCTTCAGGACTGAGCACTGTCCCTGTCCCTGGAGAGCAGAGCCAAGAGCTCCTGMAGGTGACAGCTCAACTGGGAGACTGTGACAGCACAAACCATTTCAAAAGCACCTCTGAAAAACCAAAGCAGAGACATTTACCAAAACTCCCTTCAGCTTTCACCAGTGCAGTCAGTCTGSAGCAATTATCTGGCTATTAATTATATTAATTTTTATAAGAGCATAAATACTTTGTCCACATTACATCAATACACACTTTCTACAGTATCTAAGCATGATTATTAGCTTCACATAATTTCAGCACACTTGAAAAATATTCATAAAGCCAAAATAAAAAGCCACTACACCGTTTTCATATTCCCACATGTCCTCACCCTTTGACACACCCAAGCTCACTAARGGCATGCAAAGCATGGGTGTAGGGAAGGAGGAGTTAAGAGAAAGAACTGGATATAAATACAGTGGATTTCCAATGGTAAAGGGCCACAAAGGTGTCASTTTGCATGCACTGATGTCCCCGAGGGCCTCAGGAAGGCCAGAAGCAGCAGCAGCAGAGATGCTGACTGGGTTGCTGCCTCTGGGTTTTCCCTCAGCCCTCTGTAGAATTGCTCAGAAATTTTAGCCCAAGTGTCCTCTGATCTGTGCCACTGTCAGTGGTGGCAGAGGAAGGACAGAAGCAGTGGCCTGGCAGACACACGGGCACTGCTGTCCCATGCCATGGTTGCACTGAGGCAAAGTAACACAGTGTTGTCCCAAATCTTGCCCAGGAAAAGGCACTTCATGAACCCACATTGGCCCCTGCTGGGACAGGGTACAAGATTTGGAGTTGGCAGATCAGCCATGGCCACTGAGAACCAGAGTCAAGCATTGGGGATTGAGCAGATTTGACCTCAAGGGACACACAAACCCACTCACAATCCCTCAGCACCTCAGCTCCATTCTGCTGTACCATCCTCTGGTCCAGACACRTGGTCAATGTGAAAAATCAGCACCGTGAATTAGGGGCTTTTTGGGCCAAAACCCTCTAATATTGTTAAGATGTTTGCCTGCTCTGGCCTGCGTGGCTGAGAGAATCCTCAGGCAACAAAATTGCATCTGGAGACCACAGGTTACCAAGAGTTCCTCTGTGGCCTGAAGAAAGAGTCCAGCTCAGTGAGAACAAGAAGCTCAAAGCACTGACCCAGTGGTTCTGGATGATTTGGTGGCAGCTGTGGTTATTTGCTACCAAGCTCTTATCCCAGGAGAAGGGAAAGTGTCACCCAAAATAGCACCTCCCTTGCATAGGACAGGAGCACTGTGCACCAAACACACATTTCTCCTGCAGGACTCAGCTGATGTAGCTCAGATTTGTGCACACACAGATGACACAGATGGTGCTGGGTGACAAATGCAAAGCACCTTCCATGCAGAACCCATGGCATGGCAGTGTCCACACAGCCCCTCTGGCTCTGCAATCTGCTGTGCCAAGAACATCTCATTAAAGGCAGTGGTGGTTGGACTGGGTTTTTTTTCACAGTCAGCAGGAGAATACTGCTGACTTATAACTCATCTGAAGGCTCGTTGTCTGAGACACAATCTGTCTGGTACAGGTTGAACAYTACAGTTTAAAAATCAGAACAACTCTGGACAAAACCCACCCTTCTCCTCCTTTCTTCCCTTCCTGCGAAAGATCCATCACCCTCCACCATCAACAACAGCAGAGAGAGAGGAGACTGTCAGCATCAGAGTCTCTGGAACACCAAAAATTCARCTGCTGCAAGTTTGGTTTTGAGGCTCTGAGGTTTTTGTTGCTTTTAGAAGCAGCAGCAGCATGCTGAGGCACCAAGAAGTGGGGAAAATAGGCTGACACCTGAGCAAAATCAAAAGCTTCTTTGGCATTAAAACTGAACCCCACTTCAATACATATTGTTATTTTGTTTCATCTKTAAAATTTACCCAATTATGAGCCCAAAACTTCTTCAGTAATGAGTTGTGAGCAAAGCACCACAGAGATCAGTTGTACAGCTTGGCCATAAAACAAAGCAGCTTTCTGATGTTCTGACACAGAAATTAGTGCAACTAGTAAATATACTTCACTTGCATTAATGTGCATAAAGAGAAGACAAATGGATTCCTTGCTTGTGTGTCACTTGCATTAAGTATCTCCCAGATTAAAGGACTTTAAATCCAGTATAGATTTGCACTTGCTGTGCAAACAGAGCTACAATATTCCTTAACAGGATTATTTGGGCTTCACAGTGTAAATCCTCTCCTTCCCACAGCTCTACCAACTGCCTGTTCCCAATATTGAGTGTGCATCCTCCCCATCCCATCCCATCCCATCTGCACAGGGAAAAAGAGAAGAGAAAAAGAGAAAAGAACAGGCATGGTAAAACAATGTCACATTCAAGAGAAAAACACCACAAAGGGTGTCTGACCCCAGGGAGCTCCAGGATGGGTCGAGTTTAAATTGAAAATAAAAACCAAAGTGCTCCTAAAAAGAAGGGAGGCAAACAGCTACTGAGAGGAGATAGGAGAGGATATSAAACAGGACACAGTGAAGCTTAACACAGCCTTGACTTTCAGCTCCTGAAAATAAAACATCCCAGGAGGCTGCCAGCCATCTTTAGAAGCTGCCACTCAGAGTTTCCTTACTACTGGGCAAGAAAATTTAGACAGAWTAATTTCATTCTTATTAAAAACAGGATATTGCTGACAGAAATCAGGCATGACATTACCATGACCATTCCCACAGAGTCTGTCTGCTCACAYCCCTCCTTTCAGCCTTCTCAACATATCCTTCAAATCTGAGATTCCTCCCATCACTGGGAGGGAACTTTCAATCCAAATTTACAGGCAAGTGCAGAGGACAATCACAGCTRAACAGAAACATCAGCATCAGTCTTTTCTTACGTTTAAAACTTATGAGGGAATATTTGGAAGTCCTGAAGCAGGAAGAAGGGAGGAATTAAAAAAGAAGTCTAGATGCCTTATTTCACTTTATGGCCATAACAGCTCAAGGTTTCCAGTGCCTGGGACTGTGAGCCAGATGAAAAATGTTTTGGGTCAGGATTGGGAAGTGATGGGAACGTGGAAGATGGAACCAGACTTTGCTGGATTCCTTCTGTGGRTAAGTTAATTAAACAACCCTCAGCATCATTCACAAGCACCAGAATAGAGACAGGTTCTGTTAGCTGGGAGATGGATATTGCAGTTCTCTGAAGGCACAGAAAAAGGTTCCAAGGAGAGCCCAGACAGGCACAGGTCTGGGTTACAGGCCCACAGGCAGGAGCTGCACCCTCCCATGACTCAGCCTGGCTTTGTTCATGAATTTCAGAGCTTTTGGTAGTGCTACCTTTGTGCTTTCACAATGAACACTGTTCCAGGAACAGTTATGAACAGCCAGGAAATAGCTTTTGTTTCCTTTAGTAAAGCTCCTCTCATTTCACCAGCATCTGCAGCACCCAGCAGTGTCTGCATTTTTTAGCAGGAATTGCAGATACTTCACAGTGAGAGCTCCATTCTGATTATTTTAGAGTTTATACACTGAAGATCACGACACCCAATTAACTTGTATCAGCCTATTAGGGTGGTGATTTCCACTGTGCTATTCTGAACAGAAGAAAACAGCAGATCTGTGAAAGAGCTATTTCCTCTTGAAAGACCAAAATCTGTATGAGACACTCAGTGGAGTGCCTTTCAAACAACTGTGCAGGATAATCAGACTGCTTATCCTAAGAGGCTCCAACAAGTTAATCCTAAAAACCCAAACAGCTGGAAGTTCCTTCCTCCCCAGGCAGTAACACCCAGCCATTCCAGATTCCAGCAGAGAACTCGACTCCAAGCTACAATTTCCAGACCCTCTTTTTCAGCAGCATTGGCACAATGCCAGGCTACAAAATGAACCCCTCCAAGTAGCCCAAAAASTGCAGTCCCACAGCAGAGCTCCCACCCCTTCCTACAGCACACACTTCCACGCTGTGTTCTCAGCAATAAACACTGAGTAGTGATGTACWATGAAAGCTGCCCAGATATCTCAGCATGAGGTTGTCAGTCCCACATTTCTTCTCTTTCTAAGGCTATTAGAATGGAGGAACAGATGCATTTTTATCCAGTTGTGCTTGTACACAGATGTTCCTCAGGGGGCAGGTGRGGAATGCCAAAGAAAATTGGCACTGAAAGCAACAACCACCGGTAGATCTGAAAATTTAACCTCMAAGAGCTGARTAATTTCAGGTATTAATTCAAGACRCTCTGAGCTACATGACTTTTTAAAGCACCTTTTTGAATGAATTACTGAAGTTCCAGTCCAAAGCACTTAAGGACACTTCTCCATTTAAAACRGGAGCCAGGAGAAGGGCAGAGCAAGAGAGGATGCAGGTAAGTGATGCTACACAGTGGAAGGCAAGAGAGCCAGGTTCTGGGCTCTGTGTGGTGCCCTCCTGGTGTGTCTGGGCAGCTCAGCACCCTTAAGGAGGGCTCCAATTGCAGAGGCAAGGTCCCAGCAGCTCCACATTAAAATGACCATTAGCACCATTAGCACAGTGAAGATGGCAGGGGGTTCCTCTGTGAGTGGCTAAGGGTGGAGAGGCAGTGAGAAGAACCAGGAGTTCAGGAGGAGCCAGAATCTCTTTGGCTGGAGGAGCAGAATGGGGAGGAGGTGGCATTTATGGAGCAGTTTGTGGGGCAGCTGCTGGAAGAAGTGACTTTGGGGAAGCTGGGTGTTTGTAGTGCTGATGTGGGGTGCAGGAGGGAGGGAGGATGGAGGCAGCACGATGGCCAGCAGTGGAAATGCTCTGAGCAGCTAGCCCAGTGGCAAACCAGGATGGGAAACAATTATATCTAYATATATATATAYACACATATAGATGTGAATATATATATGTATATATAAAARGGAAGAGAAGATCTTCACTGCTTAACTAATTTAAAAAAAAGGAAACAGAGGAAGGGAGAGTAACAAGAGGAGAGAGAAGCACCAATSGCAAAGAGTTCACAAGGCTTTTTTGCTCCTTCCCCCAGCGTCACTGCCGTGGCTCTGACCTTCGGGGCCGGTATCTCCTSTGGCCCGTTGCCTTCCTCGTGGCCACGGCGGCGGTGAAGCCCACCAGGCAGCACAGGGAYGTGGTGCCAAACTTGGCCGTGTCCAGCCAGCCCGGCGTGTCCGCCTTCAGGTAGCGCTCGGCTAAATGCAGACTCATCACTCCAAACCACAGCACCGAGGCAAAGGCRTCGATCCTCCGGAGCCTGTGGACACAGAAACAAGACAAGGGTTTAAACACCATGGAAAAACCCTGTCCTGAGGGTGGAGAGGGATGGGGGAGAGCACCCACACTCAGCAGGTTCTGTACTGCTCTGCCTACAGCACATCACGGGCAGCCCTGCTCGCTGCTGGGCAAGTGTCTGAGTAAATCAGTTCCAGAGCTGCACAGGCAACTCTTCATTCACAGCAATTCCGATTTAAACGGAATGAATCACGGCAGCAGAACTACATGTGCCATTCTGGAAAACGTTCACCCCTGCATCACCAAGGTAACACAGCCCTAGAGAGCTCCCAGGAAAGCAGAGTGAAGYGAAGCAGGAGCCGAGCACACGCACCTGATGCGCCCAGCCAGGAACATGGCCAGCAGGCAGGTGAAGAGCCCCAGCACGGCCACTGCTGTCTGGTGGTTCTTGCTGTAGGCCCAGGCGGTGCTCAGGCTGTCCAGCAGGTGATCCGGGAGCAGGGACAGCAGCTCCCTCCAGCYCCCTGCCCTCACTGAGCTGCCATTGCTGCTGCCCTCGCCAGTGGGGCTGGGGCCAGTCCTGTTCCGCAGGGATGTGGGGCTGAGCTGGGCAGGAATGGCCGTGCTGAGCGAGAAGGGATCTCCTGAACCGTACAAAGCCATCAGAACCAGCAACGCACAGCTGAGGAACGCCAGGAACCGCAGAAATATCACCTGAGCTGGGGTGCTGATGGAGGTGGAAGAGGAGGATGAACACAAATTCTGCAGAGGAARGGAGAAACACATTGTCAGAAGCTGACTGCAGCAAGGTTTTGAAGTGGTGTTGTATGAAACACTTCCAGACTGTATGGTTTACTGGACTGTTCTGCTCAAGTACCTCTAAGTCTCTGTACTGGGCTAACACATGGGATACTGGAGACTAGCAAGGAGCAACTGCAGAAATATGAGCAGAAGCCAAGATCAGGAAGGGCAGTGAAACAAGGAGAAAGTCATAATTTAATTCCCATTGTTCCTTTTTTACTTTTTCTCCCCTTGTACTCCATAATTTCYTGCGCTGCACTCATAAATTGGCTTCCCTACCTGCCCTTCTCTGCCTGTCCCATTATTTTCCTTCCACTCTGTTATTACACTAGACTTATCTCCTAACAACTGCACTGAGTGACAGCAAAAGAAAAACCTCCAACTAACATTAGGAGCATCTGTGGCAASTCTSCTGCGCTCCTCTGAACTGCCCTGCMCCCAAACTCCCAGWGGCAGAGACCCCAAKGCTCTGCCTCCCTTTYCCAGCAGCAGAGCAGGTTCAGGGGTGCAGAGCTGTCTGTCCGTCCCCCTGAATCCCCTCCTGTCTCCCRTGTACCTGGCAGTAGCTCTTGTCCGTGTCCCGGCGCCTGAAGTGGTGGCTGAGCAGCAGYGCCCGCAGCTGCCGGTTCTGGTGTTTGATGTAATACTCCACTGCAGCCTGGCACGGCCGGCACAGCTTGTAGGTCTGCTCCAGGTGGTGCTTGTACACCTCRATCTCCTCATCGTACTTGCCCTGGTGACAACAGGACAGGAAGGGAGCTCAGGAGAGGAAATCCCTCAGACTGCGGTGTCTGCTGCT